CTTATTTTTCGAATTACGACATTATCCTGTTGTTCGTCTTAATTACTCAATTTTTTCAAGTGGACTATATTAACTACTGAACCACTGTAACTCGAAATAGTTTCATAGTTCACATTGCTTGTATAGCGTTCCAAGTTATCCTTTGGGGAATCGGAAAATCTATATGTGGAACCCGGGATTACCTGGTGTTTAATCACGGATGGCGTGTGCATTGTTTAGGAAAAATAACGAAAACTCAGAGAACTATTTAACATGTAATGCGTTGTTTCATTTTGTATGGGAGAAGCCTATAACTGATTCTTCATAAAGATCATTTTATTTCGCTCTCAAGATCTGTTCGGGCCTTTTAAACTACCGTTTTTGGTTGAACAATTCGAAACCTTCTCCAGACGAGTGTCCCATTGACCTAGGCGACCTAGGTTGACCTAGGTTGTTTTTCACAATGGCCGAAGCGTTTGTTTATTGTAATGTTTTACGAAAGTTGTTTTCCATAATTTCTCCACATGAGTTCTCCGAAAGTAGTCAAAACTATCACCAATCCAAACATTAATCGTAAACATGTTGATCTTGTGTGTTAAAGGAATACTGATTTCTTCTTCCCAAAACTGTGCATGAACAAACATGATGTTGGTAATTATGATGGGTTTTCAACTTATGTCTACACGGTATAAAGCTTAGCCGAATAAGTAAACCATATTCTGAAAATTGATGGTGTGAGTTGTGTAGCAAGTAGTATGTAAATAAATAGTAAGTGGTAAGTAAGTAGTAGAATCAGTTAGATTAAATAGGAACCTATTGGGTAAACAGTGGTAACCTGAGCTTTTAGAAAGATATCTATCTATCTCTAGAGCTATCACAAATGTATCACTGTGCTCCTCTGACTCTATCGAATTAAGGGAACGAGTCTTCATCCTCAGGTTGCGGGGTAAACATAAACGAAAGGGCTCGTTTCTATGATTGATTTTAATCGGTGCTTTTGGATGACCTTTGAACACGCAACTGATCGCAAAGTAATATAATGTCTTAAAGCACACATTCACGTTTCGTTTAACTGCACATTAAAACGTGTGCAGCTTGAGATAAAGTTTATGTTTTAGACTTTGAAGTATCAAATGACGAATTAACACCATCGAAATTCCAAATCATCATCATCATCATGTGTATGAGATTCTTTCGATTTTATACCCCAATGATGCTTGAACATCGTTCCCTTCATCCGAACTAACGAGGGTGGGGGAGTTAGTGGGCAAAAGGGTTAATTTTATGCCTCAACCATTACCGATGTAGCATTTTTGTCAGCATTCTTAAGTGTCTTAAGTGTTTCAAATTTAAAGTAAAAAAATTCACTTCCGGATAAATATATTGCGTTTGGATATAAACAAACTAGCTCACGCCTGGATTGTTTAGACAAAGAACGAGTGCACTATCAACAGGTGTTCGATAACGGTTACCAATTCACTTGTCGAAACTCTAATGGGTACCAGATAGGAGACGAATTTGATAGTGAGTTCAAATAAATAAGTTGAATTGTATAAACGGATAATAAGTCGCGTGGAATATTTGACTGACAAACAGCAGAGGATAAAATATCCATCCAGAGTTGGTAGTTACAATGTGTCCGTCTAGTGGGTTGTTAAGTGTTCTATGTTCTATGTTTGAATACATGTAGGTTACGAAATACCATAACAATAACAAATATTACCGAAAGCCACCCTCTATCTCCACCTCGGTTAAGTACGATGAATTTTTCTGATCCCTTTTTACCTAACACAGTCTAATCACGACTGTTTGACTTCTACTCTCTCAGATGTCGGACTTGCACTAATAGGATGTTACGTTTGTAACAATTTGCATCAATTTTCCTTAGACGTTCCTTCCTGCTAAAACTTATAATTGTACTCACAAACCTATCAGTACTATTGGAATATTGCTTCAGTGAAGAACAGGGCCGTTCACCTTTATTGATATAAAGGATGGAAAATCGTATTCCATGTTTGTCTTTGCATATGGAATAAGGAAAACAATGAATTATGAAAATAAACGTTTACGCTCCTGTTTGCCAAGGAAAAGTAATCCTGTGAATGAGGTGACTTTTTACCCTAGAATTAGTAATATGGGACAAAGTGAGAGACAGGTATATTTGTTTCTGCTAACATTGTTTCTCCACTGAACTTTTGGTATTACAAGAGCCAAGTACATGAAGAGAACATGTTGGATAAAGTGACAGAAAGTTCATCATTTGTTGGGCCTGTTGCATTCAAATCAGTGACCTTTTCACAAGTGAATGAGTCACGTTTTCATACGTGATGTCCTTAACTATAAACAGCAATAGCTGCATGTCGGCCGTCATTCAAATGCGGGTTGTTTACGGCTTCCGTTTGACCCGTATTCTTTTGTAACAAATCGTTATAGAGACCAACAAATTCATACCTTCTATCGTACTCTTACTTCATCAATAACCATTTTGCATGAACCTGATATCGGTGATTCTTGAAAATGCTAATGTTCAACACGATACATGCCAATTGTGGATGAAGGACACAAAGTAGGTTATCGTTTCATTCCCAAATTATTGATCTGGAATACGTCTTTTTTCTTATCGGCATACACGTTCTGCTTTTCGTGCTTTTACTTCACTCCCATCACTACTGAACAGTCCTTGAAAATTTAATTCCCATTATAAATGAATAAGCATTATATTAGCAACATCTGTCATTCGGCAAACAATTTTCTTCCCTACATATATATATATATATATCGTTAAATCGGTTGATTGCAGTTTACAAACGGTTTAATGCAAGCAAAATATTTATTTACCAATTAGTTTCGATGAATTCCTATCACGATCTTTTTACACGGAGTGAGTTTAACATTTTTATAATCAATTTCAGACCTAATAATCTTCATTCCTCATTTATTTTACGAAGGTGCATTATAAAAGACAAAAAATTACCCGTTGTACACTTATTGCACGTTTTTTCTGGAACCATGCGAAACAAATTTATGAATCCTATGCGTTTTCGGTCTCATTGGGATCACTATAGCTTACGGATTAAGAGTTTTCAGCATATTTTTTTGATATATCGATCTTCAGTCTATAAACCTCTGGTGGTGAAAACATCTATTTTCATTCCACATTGAATTTTGCCCGGTAAAAGGAAACGTTAGCATCAATGAATTGATAATGGCAGTGTTAGCAAATCCAAATCAGTATTTTGTCATTCTCAGCCTCCTGGACGTTCAAAATTTTTGAAATATTTCATTGTAACATAATGACGTAGAAATGCTCATTTAGGAAAATTGAGTTTCCCATAATAAGAACTTCTCAATATATCATTATTTACTCTATTGAGATGGTGGAAACGTTTGTGAAGTATTTTGCCATCACATTTGTGCCGTGCACAAATCGGTTTTTGGTGCTGATGGGAAGTCATCAATGTTGTACAACTTAATTTGGTTTATATGCGTTTAGCGACTCTCTAACCACTGCAATTGAAACTCAAATTGAGAACAAATGTTCAAAGTAACAAGTGAGAGAGAATTATTGAGGAAATTCGATGGACGCGTTGTCAACTTGTGTGTAATTCCATTTTCTGAGCTCACCAAATATTAAGTGTGATTTTCTGAGTGTACTACTTTATTTGAAAGAGTAGACGGATCCACCATGGAATATTTTGGAATCAATCAATCGTAAGATATTTTGGCTGTCACTGCTAATTTCGAAAAACAATTCTCACATTTGACAGTGTATTTTAAAGTGTAAAATCGACTTCAATCGCAAAAGAGCACCTGTGGGCATCAACGAAATTTACCTAACAAATTGCAAATAATTCATAAAAATTTTGTTCGCAGGTGCAAAAAATGTTTTTTTCAGCGATCAATAAAATTCAACACAACTAAAACGTGCGAACAATAAGCAAACTGACCCATTTTCGGTTTTACAAACCATCAGTGACAAGAAGAACACGAATTCAAATATTTTCTCACTGCTTGTTTTTCGTGCTTCCAAACAAGCAAACAGGCAACATCAATAGTCGAGGTATGAACCCCGTTGATAGTACATTTCAGATTGTTGTTAAGTCACATGTTTGTCCTAACAATGCACATGCACTCCTTGTGATTAGGGAGCAAACTGGTGATTCGCGGCAATAAAGTGGATAGATAAATGTAAAAACATTCATCAAGGGACTGAGGAGGAAATTGGGGATAAATATCTTAGGTCACAGATGGTCGGTGATAATATTGAGTAACGACCTCTAAGTAGAGATAACAGTCAGAGATGATAAGATGGGTCACAGAATTGGTCATAGTTATAAAAAAGTTAACAATCGCATGGATTGCTTAAAAGGACCACCACCAATTTCGGTAACCATGGCAAATACAGAACGAAATTTCGCAACTCATACTACTTTGTCTTTTGGGTACGATCAAAATCGTAAGTAACTTATGTATCGTGTTTCACACTTTGTAATATGATCAACTGTTTGATATATTTTATATATTTGTGATCATAAAGCATGCTGGAATGAGGAGGAACGAACACATTTTAGGCTCTCTTTGGAGAATTTAGCGTGAATAATGAGATTCACACTTTCTCATCCATAGACTTATGAGAAGAGTAAACAGAGGCCATTTTCAAGATTGGATATAAAGTAAGATAGGCTGACACATAATTGCATGACACTCAATGACGATGATGACTGAGGAGTAAGAGGATGTAATTGTTATAATAATTTTAATAACCTAAGTCAATTCGAAGAATTCATTGCTGGAACATCAATGAAAGAAGATAAAATTGGCCGCAAGGTAGAGGGTTATGTCGTATGAAATATTAAGTTATGAACAAATCATAAGAGAAGACTGTACTTAGATTGAACAGAATAATTAACTGATAGTTATATTCGAGTGCGGTGACAACACAGATTAAGTATTTATCACCGTGGAATTGTAGCTTGAAATTGAAGGTGGAATTCAGGAAATTAGGGATATTGCAATTTATCTCACATGTCACCGAAAATACCGGCAAATGTTTTACGGAGGTTTTTCATTGTATCATCCGAATCTTCTACTCCTGTGCCACTGCGGAGGGAGGTTTGCCTTGGAGGGACAAAAGGCCGACTTGGTCCACCAGCCGAACTGTTTTCGACCATCTGTCCACCGGTTTGGGGTTGTGCTTGGTAGGAACCTCCACTGGAACTAGAATAGTAAAAAGAGTGGTAAATAAGCTTTATACACATGTCACTGAAGTGATAGCTGGATTGAATAATTTACGTTAGGAAATTTGTTAGTGATTCTAGCGAACTTGCAATTCCTAAGTTACCTTTTGGTCCAGGTTTAAACAAAAAGCAACTGTAACAATATACGTTGATCACTTTATTTTTTGTGCGCATATTTTTAAGTTTTATTGAGTTTCCCCATTTAGCTCATTCTAAACAATATGATATATATATATATATATGTATATATCAATTATTGTAGCATTCAATTCTAGTGGGTAAATAGTTTTACCAGGTTCACGATGTTACGATTAGGTTATACGTAATACCTCAGGATGATACCAACAGGCACGAAGGAATATGCGTTAGGCCAGCTTGTGAAGACATATTGTGTGCTGTTTTCGGCTCGAATAAAATGACAAATGGTCTGATCCGCTGCTCATTGGTTGGGTTCTCAGTGGGCCTATTCTTTACCTGTAAGGTTGTGAGCTTCATTCCGAGTTTGGCCAACATATTCTCATCTCTGATACGATTCAACGTGGTCAGAAATTTACACAGTTCTTTCAAGCGTTGAAATTCACCGAGTGTTCTTCTTTGCAGACTAACTAAAACTGCGATTTAGTTAATAATCATATCCGCTTACAAATTGATCCTCATTCGTTTCTAGACTTATTTGTCCCATATGTATGGCGCAACCATAACGCTAAAGAATGTATTGCGGTAGCACTAATGCCGGAGAACATGTAATCAAGTGCTTTGAGAAGCACTAGTTTAGCTTTAATCAAGCGGTTAATATGGTTATTTGGAATTAAATTGTATTTGTAACAACCTGCTCATGTACATCATTATTGTACATGATGCATATTCGTGAAAACTAAATATTCTCATACAGATTCCATGGTTTGTCTTATTTTTACATCCAACAAATATAGATGCATTTATCTCTGTTTTTTCCCAAAACTGAACAAAGTTAGGAAATTTTTCCATCGGTTACGGTAATAGTTGATTGTTCGGATCTACTTGAACCTCAATGTAGATGACGAATGACGAATAAGGACCTCAAGCAAGTAGAGAATTAGTTTGCAATTTTATTGACAATTGCTTCTGTTAAGTGAACAAAAAATACTTTCTGAGTAAGCAGTTGGACGACGTCATTGGTTAACAGTGTTCATCGTCTCCAGGAAAGAGCTTATCTGCTGCAAACGAATTCCAGATCTACATGATGAGGAAAATGGACCAGAAAGTTTCAAATTTCTGGGTGGAAGAATATGCACAAGTGTTTTTGTACGAACATCATGAAAATATGGACAGAATGTGCAAGTGACTAGCAGAGTATTCGAAAGTTTAAAACATCGATTTCCAGGGATACACTGCAGAGATGTGATAGAACAAACAAGCTAGAATAAATGCTTTTGGTGTACTGTTCTCGGCCACAAAGTTTTAACATGCAAGCAGCTAATGACAACTGAGAAAATAACAAGCCAACCCGGCGAAGCCACTTTGAAAAACAAAACTGAGGGAATTGGTTGAAATCGATGGATTTCGAGAGACCCGGATTGATAAAACTCAAGCGAAAACGTGAATTTTCCCAAATCTTCTAACATTTTGATGCTCATACACGGGTGTGTTTTATATTACTCCACTTTATGACAATATCCACGTATATACTAACTTCTTTCAGTCAAACGCCTTGTGCTTCAGCTATCTTCTGACTTCTATGACGGTTTTCGGTGCATCAATTGCAACACAACCGCGTATAAGCAGAAAAACGCACAAAAGAACATATTTATTAAAATCACTGACGTGCACCACGCAGATATTGTAATTTATGCTCATACTATTTTGTGCACCCGGAAATATGCCTGTCTTCAGCACGGAGAAAACATTTCGAGTTGCGATCGTGCGGGCTGCTGAACAGTAACTAGCTTAATTCGGTTTGGGAACTTACCAATTTATGGCCTATCTTTATGTGAGGAAACAACATATAATGTAATTTAAATTAATTATGTACCAAATCTCCCGTGTGACAAACCAAGGACCGTTATCTTCTAAATATATGGGTTTTCCGAACGCATTGAAAAGGAATTTCGTCAAGCAGTTTTGATAGCAAATGATTAGACGGGCGATTGATAAAGCCTCCAAAACCTATGACCGATGTCGATCGTGATAACGTGACCGTTCTCATTCAACTGGAAAGTCGATTGCGGCCTATATGCTTAGTTCACGTTTGATTGTTTAGGTAGGTTAAATGCATTAAGAGCGCATTTGGGCATACGATTAAAAGGTATTGTGCCCAAAATCCCGATGATTCAACCCATGTAGGATGTTTTGCAACTGAAAGAAAAGGCATGGAAGCAGTTGGTTGTGAAAATAGAAAGAAGTCGGCTCTAAAATCGTGACTATGGGACGAGTTGTGTAGTAGAAAAGAGACTGAAGTACGCAGCGTCAACCTGATCAATTGTCCGTGTTCTGCTATCATTTAGTTCCGGAGTGCTATGAGTTTGCAAATGATTTCTTATAGCAGGCTGTCTTCTATTTTGTGTGTGCATTTTTGATTGCTTCGAAAATACCGCATGTAACTGGACTGTTACAGTTTTGTTACCTTAAGTTGCATTGTCTCGACTGTCTCAAAAGTTCAGTTAACAAATGTGATTTAGGAAAAGTAGAGACATTTTTCTGTACATTTTTTAAGAAAAACCGACAAAAAGCACTGGATACCAGTTTTTTCCTCTATGTTGTTATTCGCCTGATGTATTGTCCATTAATCGTTCAGCTCAATGACAATGATATTGATTCCGCAGCAGGAGGCTCGCGATTATCGTCCGCACAAGGACACATCAAGTATGCAAAGTTGATGCATTCTAACAAGGTTCTTTGCCAGTTATCAAATATTTTCATCACAAATAAAATACATTTAACATGAGGAGGAGTAAAATAAATCCAATGAGGTGGAATCTATGCCAAAGATATTTGACGGTACTTGGTGCCTGTGGATAATCGAATGGACGAAACCAAAATAGTAGGAACTGAGCTTCTTTTACTCCATGATAAATCAACCTGATTTTATTGGTCCAACTACATCTCGCTGCTCCGTAGAGAACTTTCGCCAATCCATCATTTGATATTACTGATATTAGATTTGATTTTATTACTCATGAGTAGTCAAATGGAAACGGTTAAATAAACTTAAGCCTTTATTGGGTTTTCTCGTCATGTCGTTTTTGGTAGTTACAGTTTCCATGGTAAGCAGTACTTCACCAATCGTAATCAATTGGGAACTCATTCATATTTTTAGTCTCCTGTTGATGTGCGATAATTTCTGCTGTTATCTATTTATACGCGATAGATTGGCCTGCCGAAATATCCTAAATGAAACGAAACCAACTTTATAGGCTGAGTGTACCGTGCTATATTTTCACAAATAGCTAGGTGAGTGATAATGGAACGATGGACAATGTATTAGAAGCTTAGATCGAAACATAAATACATCTATCACAAACAATTGAACAAATTCTCTGTGATAGAAGTAATAGCAAATGCAGGGAAACTTATGAAATGGAAACGAGACATCTACAACTCCTTATCGAACAGCGGGTAATTACATATGATATTTCACGTGAAGAGTCTGTTTTGGATACAGAGCTGGCCCAATTTATATTCAAGAAACCTGGTTACCAATAATTCATCCAATCAAAGTCTTAACAGGCGTTTCAATAAACTGACTCAGACATTTACCGTTACAAGCCAGCAAGAGCTCAGTCAAAATATGATTTTTTGTAGTCGGGGAAGTGCTTGTTTTGCCATTCGCTATGCTGTTCACCTCGATAGCGCTTTCATTCACAGTATTAAGGTTTTAGAGGAAAAATACTGCGTGAGCTCTTAACCGGCTTTTTCAATGCCTTATTTCTTTGTATGGGATCTTTTGTTTTGGAAATGCGGGAGGAACCCCAAAGTTGATGTCAATCGCTGGTCAACTGAAACTTCTAAGTGTAATGTAAAGTATATCTACAGGAATAAATTGAAAAAATAAAGGAATGAATAGTCTTGTTAGTCACACGACACATTGCGTTACTTTTAAAAAATGTCTTACATAGATTCCTCGAAATCATTCAGTTCTTATAAACCATAATAAACCCTATTTGTATGAAGATGCAGACCATTTGTAATATACACTCACATTGGAGGCGATACAGCCGAACTGGATCCAATGCTTGTAAACTTTCGTCCGAACGAATCGGTGGATTCGTGCATTGGTCCTCCTGTACTTGATAGACCACCAGTGCTACCTGCAGAAGCGGCAACTATATTTTCATTAGACTGACTAGCCCCAGGCCAGTTGGAACCAGTACCGTACGAACTGACTTGTGTAGGTGTGAACGGCTGTGATTGAGACGAAGAAGACCGATTGATTTGTCCAACACCTGAAACTTGATTTGTTAAGGATGTTGAACTACAGTATGCTGTCGAGAGCTCATCTCTTTGGCCAATTGGTGTATTTTGCCCGCTGGGTACATGTCCATCCATTTTGGTGCTAATCCCACTGAAAACCGATGAGGTTGAGCTAAAACTGCTCATTGAGCCTTGATCTGTTTGGGGAGTAAATGACGAACCAGGTGGGATGGTCTGACCGCCAAATTTTGTTGGAAGAGGAGATGAAGATGATCCTGATGGTGCGGGACGGAAAGTTTGTTGGGATGGCTGAGATTGCGGTGGTTGCTGCTGTTGTGGTGGTGCTGGCGGGATTGTCGGTTGAATCGACGACTGTGATTGCGGCTGCTGTTGTTGCTGGTGCTGTTGTGGTTGTTGTTGTTGTTGTTGCTGTTGTTGAAATGATGTTTTTTGTGAAGGCGTATAATGCTGCTGCGTTATTGTGGATGAAAATCCACCTTGACTCATAAAGGAATGTTGCTGTCCGGTTTGCGGACCCATCATCTGAGTTACCCCTGTTTGTGACACCATCGGTTGACGTACTGTAGATGGTGGTTGACTAGTTTGTGAAGAAGCAATGAATGATGTTTGTGAAACTATTGATGGGGAACGATCGGATTCGACGCCACGACCCATTGATTGCATGCTTGCAGTTTTGGTTCTTAATTAGAATGAAAATATGGTCAGTGAGTAAACGTAAACAAGGCTAATAAATAACTTACCGCAAATAATAGAAAATAATATGTATTAAAGTGCTTTATGAATCTATTGATCGATCGATTGAGTAATGCGAAATGTTACTGTTCCACACACACCATCGATCCAAATAAGATGTATGATCCAATGGCAAAATTGATGACGACTAGTGGATTGGAACTCACAATGCGATCAGTACATTGACCGTTACATCTTCGAATTCGTGTGGGTTGAAGCAAGAAGACGGTACCGAAATTCGTGAAGTTTCGCAACAGCGCTACTAATCATACCCGGTGCATCTCAGGATTAAGTGTTTCGACAGTAGAAGGACTGAAATTGTGCACTGTTGTGATGTTCCGACTGGACTCAGAAAGCAGCAAAGTGATTTTATCAGTCATAGATCACTATAGTAACGACGACAAAATTTGAATGAAACGGCCAGTACCACTTGTCAGGATGTACGCTATCATTGATATTTTGGGATACAACAAATTCAAAGTGATTTAAAGCTCATTTCCAGGCAAGGAGAAATGTTTTCGCGCAGACGTGTCAAACAGCAACATGGAAAAATTACAAATGCAGTCATACAACTAAAAATCATGAAGTCTCTGGTGCTGTAAAGAACCTAAGTTTCGCGATGCCGGTTGGTTTGGTGACACGAAAGCTTATAAATGGTAATTCCGACGTAGAGGAACGGAACAGTTACCCACTGTTCTTTTTAGGTCGCTATAGACCGATCCATTTTCAAACATTTCTGTTGTGTGGTCAATGATTATCGGCAAACAAACAAATGACGGTTTTCGCGTGCAGTCAGCTACTGCGGCATGCCTTGCTTTTACATACGTTGCCTACTCGGAGTACTGATCAGTATGAGTTTGAGCTAATTGATAGCACATTTATCATAGTGGAAGAATGAGATTCTGGAATTTACGTTGTTTTAGTTGGCGCTCTTTCTGTACTATGGACACCACAATTGCTTAGTATTCTGCAATGAATTGAACAGGAAACACTGTCATCCATGTCTGCACGTCGAAGGTGTTACATGAAGAACGTAAAGCATAGGCTGTGTAAAAATGATAAATAATGGGGAACATACACCGCAAATGCACAAGTGATTGATGGAACAGGATTTTGTTTAGACCTGCTTAAGGATACTCAAAACGATCCAGTGTTTAGTAACCCCTGTGAACAATATTCGAGGAATACGTGACCAATTGATGAAAAGGTGAAGTTGAGCAAGCCGTATCGTT